AAAATGGCGGCAAGAAAGAAAGGGAGGGCGGCCGTGGGGCACGCTGGGATAGGGACTCGAGAAGGCCCCCGCCGGTCCCTCATGGGCGGCCTCCGCATTTGCCTCTCAGAAAGTGCTGAGGCCGTAGCGCTTCCCGAAGGCGCCTCGCTTTGTTATTTGTTAGCTTTTGTTTGAGCCATTTTTTTTTCCTGCTCTCGCACGCCCAGGGATACTAGGAGGCCTTAAAAGGCAGTCCGAAAAATTACAAGAGTTTGCTTAGCCGCCCAATTCTCAGTCAGGCCCCCTTCGGAAGCTTTCGGGTAACCATGGCGACCCCCTCTTTCCTGCGGCTGTCCGTCGGGTGAGCTCTCCCAAATCCCCGAAGCAGCGCGCGGCCTCGGCGTCCCGCAGAGCTCCTGGCTAGGTCGGGAGCGGCCTTTCGCCCAAGCTAAGTGGCGGCCCCTCGCTGACCCTTTCCGGGCGAAAGAGGGTTGGTCCTTGGATGGGAGACCACCAGGCGATCCCAAGCTAGGCGGAAAAACTTCCAAGGAGGCGGCTGTGGCAGACCGCTTCCACGTTGTTGCCAAGGAAAACGTATTTAGTTATTTGATTCATGAATTTGTAAACCGCTTCAGTCAAGGCTACTCTAAGCAGTGCACAAAATCAACAGCCACAGCTGGTGCAACGTGAAGCTTTAGGCCAAGGGGCAGCCCTTGGCTGATCTCAAAAAGCTAGCACAGGATCTGATCTGGGATCCGATGGGAGACCACCAGGAGATCCCAGGGCTGTAGGAAGCCCTGGGAATTAAAAAAAAAAAAAGCCAGTGGCAAACTGCTTCCCTCCTGTGGCACACCCTCCTTTGTAACATTCCAGGAGCTTTTAAAAACATGGCAAACTGGGGCGAGAAGGATCACTTTTCCTCGTTTGATGCCATACAGGAGCCCGGTTTTGCAGTTACAGGGTTACAAGTGTGGTCTGTGCTTATCCTTGAAACACTGATCATTTCCCATGGCTGGTCTGTTCGTTGTTAACGTGTTTGCGTGTTGTTGCATTCGAGCTGCTTAGCAGCGACTGAGGTGGCACAGAAGCTCTCCTGGGGAATGAATAAATACGGAGTGGAGCTTGACCCGAAGCAGACGTTGCCTTTCATCTCACAGGAGTAGTAGTAGTAGTAGTAGTAGTAGTATATACACCGCAACGTGAAATCACAGCTGCCAGTTCTTTAGCTGGTGTTGGCCATTTGCATTGAGTTCTTCTCAAGAACCTAGGATGTTGTAAAGCAACGTTTTTCAACCTTGGCGACTTGCCGAGGTGTGGACTTCAACTCCCAGAATTCCCCAGCCAGCATGGCTGGCTGGGGAATTCTGGG